AAAATATAAATTGTAATGTTAAAAATCTAAAAAAAACTTGACAGGTTAAAAACTTACACTACTACTACTCACCAATTTAACATGTTTAGCTCTAAAACATTTAAATGCACCACTCCAATGTCTAAGTGAAAAAAATTTGATGAACATTTTTTATTGTATGACCACTGTACAATATGAAATATTTACACTGTGCGCATACAATTATTATTATTATTTTCTTAATCCGTGACTGATCATCTTTAATCTAGCGTGTTTTATAGAATAGATTAAATTCATCATCCAGCTGCTGCTCTGCAGAATTCTCTCCCCAAGAGCTGAATCACGCCATCTAGCGGAAAATCACGCGAGAATGTGTACAAAACAACAAAGATTGCGCCGGCAACGCTTGTGGGTCTTTTTCATCGAATGTCTGTGATTTTAAAGTAATTTTGAGTGATAATTTTTTTTTGCCATCATTGCAATGGAATTTGTACTATCCTGACAATAAAAACTACTTGCCCCCGGGCGATCGGGCGATCGTTAACATCGAGCCCTGACATCATATCTGCTCAGAGGAGCAGCTTTAGCCCACCTGTCATGTACAGACCACAGAAACCCTTTGACTAGGCCACTCTGAAAGTCTTCATCTTCCTTTGCTTTTTTGTTGTTTGGTGAATCCAGAAATGGACCTGAAACTGATGTTTTCTGATCCAGAGCAAAGATCTGAGTGGCTGTAGGTCCGTTGTTCTGTTTGGTAACGGGACGCTGCAGGTCAGAAGTTCTTCTTCTGTCTCTTCAGTCCACAAAACTTTTTCCCAAAGTCTTCATGATCATCATCACCCGTTTGTGGGCTGATCTAACCAGGTCACCACGTTCTCTTTGTGATGGATCAATCAAGGCTCCGACCTTCACGTGACTTCCTGGATAAGTTGGAAATGTGCTCCTGGAGTGACTTTGGTGTGCTGACCCTCTTAGGAAGGTTTCTTGTTCACTAATAAGAAAACAGCTTCTTTCAAGCCTTGGAAAGAGGTGGGAAATTCTTCCAGGACAGATTAATGTTATTTCAGTTCTCTCAGGGTGGATCATCTCATGGCCTACTTCATGCTGTCAGACAGGTTCTGCTAATGTGGCTTCTTGTTTCTACGGGTGAGGCTGCCTTAGAGCAGGTTTAGTGAGGATGGAGCAGAGAAGAAGAGCTTTCTTTTGATAAATGAAAATATTTTGAAACTGCTTTTCATCTTCACTCGGGTTCTGTTTGTTTTTATACTGTTTGTTCAATTAAACAAACAGAAAATAAATCTGTGTGTAAATACTGTATAGTCCACATCAATATGACTAAAAAGCGCCAGTGTCTGTTTGCTAAAACGGTGATGACAGAGCGTTCAGGCTTTAGCACGACGGCGCCACCCATAACTGATCCCACAGACAATCTACCAGAGATACAGCTGCATTCAGCAAAAACTGTGTACTTGGAAAAGTTTATTTTGGTCCAGAAAAATGAAAAATCACATCAGATGCATGATCATTTCTATAAAGACTGAAAGCAGGCAGTGTTTTACCAGAGCAGAGCTTCAGAGATCTTCAGGAAAGAGGTGAGAGGAAGTCAAGTGATTACCAAAATAAAAGACTCTTGATGCATTGTAACACCAGAGACATGACTGCAGGGGACAATTACTTTTTAAAGATATTTTTTATAAATTTGGCTCTTTTTAATACGTCTTATTCATATCGTACATTTGATTGGTTAATTTACACGATGTTGCATTTAGAGTGGGGAAAAATTTGTCTAGATTTTTTCGGTTGGGGTTCTAACCAATTGATTAAAAAGCAAATTTTCCCAAATTGATGGTGTCAAAAGGTTTGATAATACAGATAATATTTATTTTCAGAATAAAATGCAAAAAACCAATGTAATACAGAATCTTTTTTAAAGCAATACTCCTTTAAACGCTGTGACAGAAAGAATAAATTCAATTCAGTTTATTTCTATAGCGCCGATTCACAACACATGTCATCTTAATGCACTTTACAGTTCAACAGATTATACAGTCAAATTGATTCACAGTTTTCTATCGAATGCATTCCCTCACACTAAGCATGCTTGAAGCGACAGTGGAGAGGAAAAACTCCCTTTTAACAGGAAGAAACCTCCAGCAGAACTAGGCAGAGGGAACCTTTGATTCCACCCTTGGATTCAACAACAGGAGTGAAAAACAGGCTGGATTCCAGTAGAACCAGCTTTAAGGTTTAGCTTAAGTTGGACTTGGTGTGAATCAGTTGCTACTTTTGTTCCTTTGATCATTTATGATCAATTACACTAAATGATGACACTGGATAACTTCTTATAGAGGACAGGAGCCACTCAGCCTCACTCTTATCCTGGCATATTTATCTCCCCAAACTAGAGACAGAAAATGAATCCAAGCAATTCTTGGATTGTTGGATCCCACACACACACACACACACTGTTTGTTGCATTAATTATTGTCTCTACTTAGAAAGGATAAAAAGTTGGCATCTTCTGCCTGCTGCTAACCCTTCATCAGCGAAGTGAATCATCTGTTGGATTTGAGAGAAAATGCTCCACTAACAATAATCAGCAGTGATTTCTCCCTGGTTAAATGGTGAGAACCATCGACCACTGAATGAACAAACACCACCGCTGCTATCGCTGCTTCCACCAATGAGAGCCGCTGGATAATCCCAGCAGGTTAACAGCGTCCACTGAGGTGACGGAGGCCTCCAACAAACCTAATCCCTGTTAATTACCCCCCATCAGCCATAATAACCCCCCACAGCACCCACTAACCTCCCTATCATGGTTAACTCAGCGGGAGTTGGAAACACACACATGACCCATTCCTGAACGCGGCAGGCTCGTTATCACACACACTCACACGGCGCCTCGTCAGCAGCTGAACACACACAAAGGCTTATTGATACGGACGCTTCAGCAGCCACTGGGGCGTCCAGGCCGCTCTGACGAGCCGGCACAATAAAACAATCAGCCCGCGTTAATGAAATGACTAACGCCATCAACCCGCGGCTGGGGGGAGGATTACAGGGGGGCGCTAAGGTGGAGGAGATCAGGATGAGGTTGTTACCGGATTCATGGATGAGTGGCGCTTTCTGCCAGGGCCCTGACGGTTTAATTAACGCATGCTGTCAATGGGAAATTAGACAAATCAAAGTTATTAGGATCCAAAGATCCAGGCCTACGGATGCTTGATGTTCATTCCTGACGGCTCCACAGGAGAGAAACAGGAAGAGGAGGAGGAAGGCTGAGATGGAGGAGAACTGGAAGATCAGAAACAAATAAAATGAAAAGAACAAGAAATAAAACCAAGATGGATGGATGGATGGATGGACGGACGGACGGACGGATGGATGGACAGACGGATGACGGATGGACGGACGGAC